GGATAATGAAACAGCATCAGGGAAGTCATTAAAATGATTAAATGTTTTTAATTAAACAGGGTTCCATTTTATTTACACGTGTGTTTACTTTTTCTGTTAACGTTTTATGATTTCTTTCAAGTTGTAAATTTAGATTTGATGATAATAAATTTGTAATTCTCTATTTAAGGTATATTGGATTATCCCATCTGTATAATTTTTTTGTTTTATGTACTCTGAGATAATATGCAAGCTAAAATAGAAGTGATGTGACCCACCAGCAAAACTTTTTCCGGAAAAAATTGAAAAATGACTCATTCGTAAAAAAGGTTGCCGACTATAAGTCTGTACTCTGTATGGTACTCCGCGTTCACTTAAAAATCCCCTAAAGAATACATATATTGGTATCAAATTTAAAAATACAAAGCTCCCCAGACTGCAAGTAGACTTGTGTTCACGAAAATAAACAAACAAACAAAAAAGCAAGCTTTTCTTCCTTCTAATTTTGACTTACTTTAATTTAAAGCTGAAAGTCTGAAAATATATCCATCGAGAACCAATAATGCACTATACATCGTGTAACAATAATGTGGTATACATTGTGTAACAATAATGTGGTATACATTGTGTAACAATAATGTGGTATACATTGTGTAACAATAATGTTGTATATATTGTATAATTAGAGTTTCCTTTGAGAAAAAAAGTGATAGGGCCAAGTGTGGTTAGCGTTGTAAGGTTCTATGGGTCAACTGTTCCCGTCTCGCTAACATTAAAAAAAAATCGCTCTCCGCTCTTCTGAGCCGTGGATTTGAAATAAATCCCACTTGGCGGTGTGTGCTGTTGATTAACTGCCTTCCCTCTAGTCTGTCAATTCAAAATTAGGGACAGTTATAACGCAGCTTTCCACAAATATTCGAAACTAGCAAACAAAAGTGATAATGATTATCTGGTGTTTTTAAGTAGAAAACAAACTGCATATCTTACCTGTTTATATTCATTATGTGGTTGATTATTTAACAACTATTCTGTTGAGGATTCTTTCAGGAGCTAATATCAGTCAGTAGTCTAATACACACGTCTGGCTCTGACAGAAAGAAGTAAGCTACAGTTTGTTTGTTCAGGTAACGATACAATTTAAATAATTATGCTCTTATAGTATAGAGTTCTCCGTGGATCTTAAGATTCAGGGTTACTACATTCATTTACTCGTGTTACCTTCCAAGGAGATATAACTATTTCAACGGTGGTTCTGAACTTTAAGTACCTCACGAAAAAGGCCCTTGTCTGTTCCTCTATTCCAACACGAATCAATTACAATGTACTCATCAATTACGCTGGGCCTCAGGGTATTAGCCGAGAAATCATTGTAAGTGAATTTCTGTAAGTCCTCTTACCACATACCGCACGGAGTTGGGTGTCATACTGTTAGTTTCACTTCTCTATGGCCTACATACACACTTAACGAAGATGCGCCCAGTTAGAGAGAGAAAATAAAGTGAGTGGGATTACCGTATAAACTGGATTTTTCGCTAAATCAATGACCTACATCATCAACAAAAGTCTGAAAGTGGCCAGCCTTAAATTTTATCTTGCTGATCTCAGAATAATTAGTGCTAGCGCACTTACTGTTTTATTGCTTTTAACTAGAACGTAAGTTCATGAAATATGTAGCACTGAAGACACATACAAGTCTACATGTCGTAATTTTGTTCTTTAGTTCTTCTCACTTATATATCAAAACATCAATAACTTATATCCTCTATAGGAAAATAAGGTTTGTGAGTAAGTAAACTGGTTAACTTTGAGGAAAAAATAATTAATGAAAACCAAAAGACCACTTACTTGATCACAAAATACGACAGTCAAAAAGAATATAGTAACTTAGGTAGAAAAATACTCCAGTTACGAAAGAAACAAACAAACTAAATAACGTGTTTCAGAAATAAATAAATAATTTTTATTCGTTGCAAAATTAGACCTAAAACGCTCCAGTTATCTTTAAAAACAAAGAGCCAAATTAGATCCTATAGGCATCATAGAACAACAGCATGA